GCTTTGTGTTTAACTACAAAAAACAAACAGTATATGCCACAGCTTAACAATCCTTTAAACTATGTGTATAGTTTTTAAAAATATTTTTTACTCACACAGTAATCCTATACTTATAGAGCAGTTTCAAGAATATGGAGCATTAATGCTATTAATTTATTCAGCTAGACAAGCTGTTTATGATATTACATTACAACAACACTGATAACAGCACAGTGAGAATGATACACACACATATATTGTTTGTTTGTTTGTTTTTGAATTTTGCGCAAAGCTACACGAGGGCTATTTGCGCTAGCTGTCCCTAATTTAGCAGTGTAAGACTAGAGGGAAGGCAGCTAGTGATCACCGCCAACTCTTGGGCTACTCTTTTACCAACGAATAGTGGGATTGACTGTTACATTATAAAGCCCCCACGGCTGAAAGGGCGAACATGTTTGGTGTGACGGGGATTCGAACCCGCGACCCTCAGATTGCGAGTCGAGTGCCTTAACCACCTGGCCATACCGGGCCACACACACACCCATATATATATATTTCTGTTTATTTTGTGATTTTAGTTTTATTAAACAGGGCATGTGCTATAGTTTTTATGGTATAACATCATACCATTAAATTGTTGAAAAGTGTGTTGCATGAGAACAATAAATTTTAGCACATACCACATTAAACTCTTGTTAAAATTTCAATACAGATACTTTGACTTTAAATGAGCACAGATGAAAACAATTTCAATTTGAAAGTCTTGTACTTTATGTGGAAATTCATTATGAAGATGGTAGATACAAAATCAACATTTTATATAACGGAAGTCAATAGCTTCCGGTAACTAATCAATACCACATATAAGGTTTCTAGTATCTCTGTGCTCCGAAGTTTCAATAGTAAGCTTGAGGGTATGTAACACTAGAATATGTGATTCGTGTCCTGCGGTGAAACAGCGGGATGATTCAATGGGCAGCTTTATAATCAAGGTAAACAAGCTGTAGCTATTTGAACTCTCGCACCTCGAATCCATGTGCAATACTATTAAGGTTTGGTTGCTGAAGATAGAATATGTTTTTTGTTTGTGTTTCTTTGTTCTAGCGCAAAGCTATGGGCTACGTGTGCTTTTCCATCGTGGGGACTTGAACCCAGAATTTCAGCTACACAAGGGCTGTCTGCGCTAGCTGTCCCTAATTTAGCAGTGTAAGACTAGAGGGAAGGTAACTAGTCATCACCACCCACCGTTAACTCTTGGGCTACTCTTTTACCAACGAATAGTGGGATTGACCGTCACGTTATAACGCCCCCACTGCTGAAAGGGCGGGCATGTTTGGTGTGACGGGGATTCGAAACCGCGACCGGCGAGAGCGAGTCGAGCGTCCTAACCACCTGCAATAAGAATATTGAATTATTTTCAGAAAAAAATTCAAATGACAGTGTTCTTGCTATACAACTCTAAAATCAAATATTTACCTTAAACCTGTGAACTTACATTACTGTGAAAATAATTATCAAAAACGCAATTTTCGTTTCTTCTCCACTCTTAATTAAATATTTTGATAAGTTTTATTGTTTCTCATAAAACGGGAAAAAAGCACTGTTTATGATTTAAAGTTTAGCCCTCTGAAGACACTTTTTACCTCGAAGTATTATTAATTGTAAATAAGGGCTGTTGCAAAACAAATCACACTTTTTTCCCCGACTGCATAAAAAAGTGAAATAAGATTTTAATTCAATCAAAAAAGTAATTCCAAGTATCAATATCGCTTGATTGGACCACCATTGTTCTCTCACACACACGAGTTTTAATCGATTTGTAAAAGATTTCAGCAATGCAACAAACATATCTGATTTTGTGGCTGTCTCTGTGAGCACATCAGCGAGAACACGAATCAAGGTTT